GCTTGAGGTGCGGCGGCTGGTGCGGCTGCCATCCCAAACGCCGAGGGAGTAGAGGGGATGAGGTGCACCCCACCCGGTGCCATGTACGTTGTGGGGTGCCCGGGTGCGGCGTAGTAAAACTGTGGTCTGGCGGCACCAGCAGCCGCAGCCGCGGTGGTAGGAGGCGTCATAAACGGCGGTGGCGGCTGTCCCATCATTGGCGGCATCGGCGAGGGAGCGGCGTTGAAGGGAATCATATTTGCCGGCCACGCGGGAGGATCCCCCACTACAACTGGCATCTGCGACCAGTATCCACCAGCAGTCTGCACCATCATAACCTGCGATCCTGTGGCGACCTGCGCCTGTTGGTGCAGTATCGACTGCGATCCCGCCGAAAGCCAACGCTTGAGCGCCGCAGCAAACAAGACGCCTCCAAAGAGTCGCTCATCATCTTCCTCCTCCTCTAGGAATGCACCACTGTCCTGACGCTCTTGCATCAGCCGGTATCGCTCCTGCAGCAGATCACTCGCAACACACCGAACGTGGTAGCCATTTACAGAGTCAACTCGCATCTTCTTCTCAACATACCGCATCCAGCGGGCTAAAAACATGCTACTGAATGTTACCTCCACACCATATTCACCATGATGATTCTCATAAGGAGAAAAACGCGTAGGTGGCATCTCTTGCATGCCAAGCTCCTTAATCATATCTAAAAGTGCGTAGTGGGTGTAGAACATCCGCAGCCAACGGTAGTTGTCGTGTCGTAGCACTAGCCGAAGTTGTAGGCGCTCCATGTAACGGTCAAAGGCGGACTCCACAAGAGAATCGGCGGCAGGGAAATGAAGAGCACAGGAGTTAATGAATTGCTTTCGGAAGGTCAGGGATGCCAGGAGCACTACGGACTCTGTCAGATAGCCGTGTGCCTCCATGTCGTCAAAAATCACGTCTAACACCACAGGAAAAGACTGCCTTTTGCCGTCTGACGTAAACGAAGAGGACGAAGTGCTGCTCCCACCACTGTGCCCGTGTGCCTTGTTTACGCTCGACGTGTTGAGGTGATTCACCGGTCGATCCATGCAACAGGAGATAAATCCCACAAGCTGCAGACGTTTTCCCTTGATGAGCACAATATTGTTACTGTGTGCCTGGTGGTGCTGCTTGCTGCTGTGTGTGTTGTTCGACCCTGACCCAGATGCGGAGGAATCCCCAGGAGGGACGTCCGAATCCAAAATGCACACAGCGAAGGGCACAGGCCGCATTACGAAAGGCCCAGAGTGGTGCGAAGACGCGTGATGGCTGGAATGCTGTGGCGGCTGGGTGTGTGTGGTAGGGGTTTCGGGTGCCGGGCTTGCCGCTGAGGCCGAGGTCCCCGTCGCAGCGCCCTTCTCTTCCTTCAGTTGACGGTCGTCATGCGCCGCACCTTTATTGACAATTGCGTCCTTTGTGTTGACAAAGAAGAAGGCCTCCGTGGAGGAGATGATGTAGTCAACAAGGGAACTGCTACCTCCCTGATCGGGCCGCTTCGCACCACTTGCTGCCGTGCTCGTCGCTGCAGCTGCAGTCGATGCTGCTGCTGCCGACGACTGTTGCGGTCCTTTACGTGTCAAGAGATCGTTCAGCTTCTTCTTAACTTTCTTATGCCCGTCATTAAAGAAACGCGGCAGGAGAGGTACAAGGCAGACTTCGACTCGGGTGTCTGTCGTGGGCTGCGACACCAGCGTTGTATAGATTAGTTCCGGTGCATCGTGTGACGGGAACGCGCCCATCTCCCTCTAGTATCTCCTCCTCTTCCTTGCGATGCGCTGGTTTGCGTTTTCCCCAGTTCTCGTGGCTTTCTTCTCACTGCTGTTCCCTGGTATATATATATATATATGCGGCTGTGTGAAGTGTTTCGAGGCCTAGGATGCTTCACTTGACCGCCGCGCCCTTCTTTAATCCCACTCACTCTCTCAAAAGTTGAAGCGTGGTTGTCTTCCTTCTCGTGTGGCGCGCTCCCGGGGATTCCCCTACACCTCTGTTTTGTTCTTCTCACTCGATCAAGCTGTGTGCGCTTCACCGCTCCTTTTCCCCTCCGTTTTTCTTCCCTTTGTGGTGCTTCACTTTTCCTCCTCCTTGCGCTGACACCCTTCTCACTCGTGTTAACCCCTTCATGTGTGCAGGCAGGCGCAGAGACAACGAAGAGAGAAGGAAAGAGACGAGAAAACGCAGAGGCACCGTGAAATGATGCAGGCACAGCAGCAGCAGAAAACAACAATGAACAATAATAATAAAAAAGCAAGCGGAGAATGGCACTGCGTATAGTTGCATGCATCCTCCTCTGCATCAAGGTGGGACGGCGTCATGGCGGCGGGATGAGAAAATAATTGTTGGCGTTGCTGTTGCGGGTTCTTCGTCTGTGCGTTATCCTTTTGGCCCATCCC